TTTCTTTTTTTTTTTTTTGGTTACTAGGGATCAAACTCGGGCCCTTGTGCTTGTGAGGCAGGCGGCGGAACCACTGAGCTAAATCCCTGGCCCTGGTTTTGGTTTTTTGAGACAAGATCTCTCTATGTTATTCAGACTGGCCTTGAACTCACTACATGGCCCAGGCTGGCTTTGAACCTGTAGCAGTTTTCCTGCTTCAACCTGCCAAGTGGAGATTACAGGTGTGCCCCACCATGCCCAGCTGGGAGAGATGGTCAGGAACCTAATTATGAAGGGCATTGAAGCCAGATGTGGTGGCGCATGCCTGAAATCTGAGCACTCTGGGAGGCTGGGGCAGAAAGATCCAAGTTTGAGCCCAGCCTGAGCAACTTAGCCAGACCCTGCTCAAAATAAAAAAAGGGCTGGAGATGTAGTTGTGTGAATGTGCTGGGGTCAATCCCTGGTACTGTGGCGGGGTGGGGGTGGGGGGCAGCAAATATATGTTAGCAAACATATTCAAGGTTATCTTAAGGGTATTGGGAAGACATTAGAGTTTTATGGGAAGAGACACATTATTAACCCTGGATTCAAGTGGTTAGCAATGGTGAGGACTTGCAAAACTTAGTGTTTCAATCAGTATAGATTTCCTGGAATGAGGGAGACATTGGTGGCAGAGATCATAGAAGAGGCTGGTACAGCCGCTCAGAAGGGCTATATAGAGGCTTGGGCTAGGATTATGACAACATGGACCACAGACTGGTCAGTTTAATTGTAGGTAACAACCTGTATGGGGAGGAAATGGTACAGGCCCTCGTGCAGCTGAAGGACATCGAGGAGAGGGCCTCCTACATCCTCATGGAGAAGATTGAACCTGAGCCTTTTGGGAATTGCCTGCTCCGGCCTGGCAGCCCTGCCAGAGTGGTCCAGTGCATCTCAGAGCTGGGTATCTTCGGAGTCTATGTCAGGTAAATCAGGAGGAGCTCTTTCTACTACCTCCCTGCAAGAGTGCCAGTTAAGCAAGCCTACAGGGAGCCTTGGACAGCTAGGAATCCTGGGCTTCAGAGGTAGCTCTGCTAATCCCTAGCTTTGTTACTTGTGCCTTTGTCTAGTAAATAAGGCCAAGGACCCAAGAGCTACCCACTTTCCATGGCTATCAAGTAACACCCAGGCAAGAAGTGCTTTGCAGCTATAAAGGAAATCAGGTAGTACCACGAGAATTGAAAAAAAGATGGTCTGACAGTCAGGAGTAGGAGATTCCAGGGAGGAAGAGAGTTTGGGTCCAGCTTAAGGCCACTGGGGATTCTGGAGAAAAATGAGATGGGCCAGCTAGATGATACTTGGTGGCTTTGAAGATCTAGTAGCTCTTCAGATTTAACTACCAAGAATCAGGAAGAGGACTTGGGAATTTGTAAGGAACTCATGCCACTTCCTGCAAAATACTTACTTCAAGGTGAGAGCAAAGTAGCGATACCAGATGCTGCCACGTTCCCTTCCAGAGCCTGCTTTCACTATAATCTCCCCACAAACCATTTGCAGTATTTCTGCCTGTCACTCCCCCTCACTCCCACCACTATCACAGTCATTTTGAAAGAGGTCAAGAAAGAAATTTATAGCTCAAGACATGAAATGTGAGCCTGGATCATGCTAAGAGCTTTTCCTGCTTTTTCCTTTCTTTTTCCTTTTCCTTCCTTCCTCCTCCTTTCCTTTTCCCCTTTCCTTTTTCCTTTCCTTTTCCCTTTCCTTTTTCCTTTCCTTTCCTGATAGGTTCTTGCTATCTAGTTCAGATTGGCCTTAAACTCACTATGTAGTCCAGGCTGGCCTCAAACTCATGGCAGTCCTCCTGCCTCAGCATCCCCAGTTCTGTGATTAAAGGCATGTCCCACAATGCCCAGCTTTTCCTTCTTTATTTAATCCTCATGACCATCTTCAAAAGCAAGGGATATTATCTCAATTTCAAGCTGAGGAAATTGTTATTGGAAAGGCTAAGGAACTTCCTCAAAGACGTAGAACTACAGTAGTAGTTTTCTGGCTAGAAAGCAAACCCAAATCTAACTAAAATCCTAAGCACTTTTCTTAGGTATTTACACGTGTGTCTTATTTATTTCACTTAAGAGTATCGCCTCAATGTGCACCCATTTAGCTATAAATGTCTCTAGTTTCTCATTTTTTATGGTTGAGTAGTACTCCATTTTATTTTAAAAACCCACATTTTCTTTATCCAGTTTCCAGTTGATGGGCATTTGGACTGTTTCCAAGTTTTAGCTATTACAAACTGCTCCTATGAACATGAGTGCACATGTATCACTGTGGTATGATTCTTTTAATTCTTTGGGGAAGATACCCAGCAGGGGAATAGCTGGGTCAAATGGGACTTCCAGTCCTAGTTCTTTGAG